CCAATAAAAAAATAAAAAACGAGACGGTCGAGATGAGCGCCCCGTCATGGCAAGTTATCTAGGGGAAACACTGAAGATTTAATATGCAATTATTTTTCGATGTCTTCTTCTCGTGTATTTTTCAACGAACACGAGCAGTAAATCTGTTTCAGTTGCAAAACAACTCCACTGTTTTCAGCTCCGCTGCAACTTTGTTTCTGCATTTTTTTTGTATAGCTCCATAGCAACTTGACTAAAATGTGTGCGCGAGGGCATTCTATACCGCTTATCCACTGTGTTTACCAAATCCTCAAACCCAGACTTTTAGTCACTATATTAATGGGCATCATGTCTTTCCCTCTGAACTCTGTTACTGCTCGAGTTATTTCCGTGTGCCGTTTCAAATCATGTTCATACGGAGGAATATCTTGGAACAGTTCGGTCAGTGACCCCTGTCGGCTGCTACTTTGCCTACTTTAAGTTGAAGCACTGGTCGTTAGCATTCCAGACGTGCAACTATCATAAATGGCTTTGTGGTGGTTTTTTTTAAGTGTTGATAAAGATTTGTGGTGTTACCTCCAGAGGTAGCAACAGCAGCAAGGCAGGCTCTGCACAATACACGCTCCCTGCTCCGCTCACTCACTCACAGGTCACATAACCAGATCATGTGACCAGTCAGATCGCAGCCTTTGCGATTAGAAAATCTTGTTTTATCATATCATGATATTATTGCAAATGCAATTAATTGTTCAGCCCTAGTAGAAACATTTTTTTTTTTTTTCTTTTCCAGCGGCTCCCTTCAGGGGTCGCAACAGTGAGCTTCTGGCTCAGCTCAGATAAGTGACTATACGTATATTTGACTACTACCTGAAGACTTAATCTTTTTGTTATTTAGGCTCTGAGACTTCATTTCCTTAAATGTTTGTAATTTAGTCATTTTTCTTAAACTGCAGTTTAACTTCAGACACTGCTGCTGGTGGTGGACTCAGATACTGATTTTAACACAGAGAAACTCAACCTTTTACTATACTGTGCATTGATCTAATAATCCAACTTTCACGCTAAATCAAGGTACGTTTATAGAAAATAGTTAAATTTTTTTGTATTTTTGTCCTGATTTTCTATGTTTCAACTTGGATCAGAAGGCAGTGCTGAAGGTGACTTAAAAGAAGAAGGTAAGACTTCATCAATTATCAAATGAAAACTCAGTTTAGTCCCATGGTGTGCTGGAAAGTGAAGAACTTTACAAAACATTAAGACGTCACTGCTAAAGTTACGCAACGTTTGTCTTTTTCTTTTTGTCTGCAGACTGCAAAAAGACCAAATCAGAAGAAAGTAAAAAAAGTAAGACACTTCAAGAAGCAGTGTTGAACTTGTATGCGTTCAGTCCACATCTGGAAAGCAGTGGTGCGGCACCATTACAGCACAAACTGTCAGACCGGCTCAGTCGTGTTTTACAGCTGGATTTCAGTCAGTAATGTGCTGCAAGGTGTTGATGGAAAAACTGCTCAGGAGTTCCTTCTTGATGTGAACTCCTGGCTGGGCCTAAACTTACCTGGCAACTCATTCAAACCTGTAATTTGTATATATTTTTTTTTATTTCCAACAAAGTGCAATCCACTGTAGAGCTGCCAGCACTGCACTCTTACAGAGCTGCACTGAATCTGAACTCCATCTTGTTTGTTAAGGTTCACTGTTCCCAGGTTTTCAGATTGATTGAGCGGTGCTCCTGCTTTCTTTTTTTTAAACAAATCTTAACTACCTTATTTGCAAGGCAGTCCTTCATTCTGCTTCTTTCACTGCACCCGCTATGAAAGACCTTGTATGCATGCATTACAAATTAAACCATATTATCAGGGCTCTCCACATGTAGGTGCACAACTTCAAAGTTTATGTTGCAGCTGACGATTCAATGAAATCTGAGTGAATATCAAAATGAACAAGGTCTTTAAAACATCACTATTTATGTCACTTTAACTCACAATCCACCACAAGTGTGATGCGATAAGTTCTTCTGAATGCTGGACCTGATTTTTTTTCCCCCCTCCAGGTACTGAACCAGAAGCGGCAGCTTTAAATGGGAGAGGTGAGCCGATTGTAACTTCTGCGCTTTGTTATGAAGACAGTTTCACTTGTTTCACCTGGTGGTTCACCTCCTATTTGACTGACATAGCATCTTTTTTTTCTTTTTTCATGATGGGAAATTTGTCATCCTAGTGCTTCTCTGTCTTGTGGTGTGCCGCAGGGCTCCATTCTTGGTCCTCTCCTTTCCTCTCTTTATATCATGCAGTTATTTTCAGACTTGTTTTTCTTTTCAGTGTTATGCTGATGTCTTAAAGATTTATTTACCCACGATGCCAAGAAAAACTGACTTTTAAACTTATTTTCCTGACTATATTGTCGACATTAATTAGTGACTCAACCAAAACGTCCTGTTTTTAAATGTAGAAAAGTCAGAGTACATTTTTTTAAATTTATTAAATTGATGGATTTTTTTTTTTCTTAAAAACATTTTATTTATTTATTTTTTTCCACTGACAGATGACAGATCCAAGTTATGCTGTGAAAAATGCAAAGCCATTCTCCAGGTGAGCTCAGAAAAAAGTTTGTTGATTGCTTATTCCAAATGGTTTAGTCACAGCAGCAGGCAATAGTATGTTTAATATAAAATTCAAAATGACTAAGGAGATTCAACAGCAAAAAGAAAACCGAGGGTTTAGAACAGTATCTGAAACACTAAACAAAACCATAATAACATTAAAATGTACATAAAGATGCCAAGCGAATGCATTAAAGTGCTCTTAATACCATTCGCCCATCTTTCTTTGCTTCCATCACAAATTTTGATTCTCTAATTCTTTGGCAGCTTTGGAAAAGCAAATACTAAATATAAATGAAATGTGCTGTTCAGTTGGGAGTAGTGTGTTTGATTTTTGTAGCCGTACATCATATGGCGTAGATGAAACTCTCCCAAAACTACAAACATTTTTCCACAAACGAGACAATGGTATTTTGTTGAAACCAACAAGGAAACCAAGGTGGAGCTCTGTAATTCACTTCAAACTAGAAACCTTGTTTAAGTTTAAATGGAAATCTGGACTTTAAATGACTGAACTGACATTTTGATATATCTAATGAGTTTTGCAAAATTGCAGTTTAAGTTTTGACTACTTTTGAAGATTTTATTGCAGAATGTTCATCTTGGTGTGATGACATCATTCACGTTAACCTTTGAGCTGTTGAACTAACGAGCTCTTCTTGCTCCAGCAAAGTTTACTCTCAAACAGTTTATACTTTAAAACATTTTGTTTTCTTCAGCTCAGCGTGTCTCACTGATTATAGGAGTTCTCGTTTTCCCTCAAGTCCAGCAGAGAGCAGTGTGCACATGAGATTCTAGTGTCTGAGCTTGATGTTTTCAAACCTAGACTTCAAGGGTCTTTTTAACTTGTTGTATGTTCTATATTTAAAAACTGTACTGCACTTGTGAAAATGTACAAGTATGATGACCGAACTCTTCTGACACGTACAGCTAAGAAATGATTTCACTACAACTTACTGTTTTTGTACAACCGTTACTTTGAGGCTGTATTTCTGTTGATTTGATTAGGTCTGCTGTCAGGGAGTGACAGGCACACGTTTGAAGTTACCACGGTGACCAAAATTTGCTACTAGCGCCAGCTTTAACATTCATTTTGAGCTCGAGCCTGTTTATATGTCTTATACAGTTCTTATATTAAAACGTAGGCATTTTATCAGATGAGATTTTTTTACAAAAGTGAGTCCCAAGTTACTGTTGGGCTTTGTAGAAACAACATACTTTGAGATTTGGGGCAGGAGCTGCATTGTCACCCTTTAATTTAAATTTTTATTTTTTCAGAAATGTTTCAGTTGTGTTTTTTTAATTGTCTAAAATAAAACTTATGTTTTTTTTTTTTTAACAGACCCACGGCAGTGAGCTTGTTACCCCTCAGAGGCTCTCAAAGGGACGATTCCAGTAAGTGAAATGTTATCGCCATGGAGATCTGATGACTGAGCAGCATCACTCAGTGTGTGTGTGTGTGCATATGTGAGCGTGCATGCATGTGTGTGTTTGGTTTCAGGTTACCTTGTAGGGACCAATTTTAGAAAAAAAAACATGTATTGCGGGAACCAACTGCTCTTTATGGGGACCAACGTCAGGTCCTCATAAGGAGAAGTCTCGCTGGGGGTTAGGTTTAGGTCTAAGGTGTGAATTGCGGATGGATTAGGGTTAGGCATGTACTAGTAATGGTTAGATTTAGGTTCGGCTATAGAAAATGAATGGAAATCAATGCAAAGTCCCCCAAAAGTACATTTACAAGAACGTTTGTGTGTGTTTTAGGTTGCAGCTGGAAGGAGATGGTACATACGAGTGCTCCGTCACCGGCCTGGTTTTTGAAGCAAACGAGCGGGTTCTCGTGCGGTACTCGGTCTTATCTTGGTCCAAATTTGGCGCGTTCCTGCCGAACTCGTGGAAATGCGCAGGACCCATCTTCAACGTGGACACGGTCAACAAGGACGCGTCTGTCCTCAAGTCCATCCAGTTTCCTCACTCCGTCTGTCTAGCTCGTAAGAGCATTAAACTTAGTTTTGATCATTTAAAACACAAGGAAGGATTGAAAGGAGTCCTTAAACTTTATTGATCCCCTTTGTCTTTACAAAGATCCAGAAGATGACATAACGTTCGGCGTCCTGCACATAAAGGACAACCGTCCGCTCATCGAGCCGTCCTCAGACATCTCGGGGAACCACGTTAAGTGGAACGTGAGCTCCCTGTCACCCGTGGGTCCCATCCTTAAGACGAACCAGGCCGTGGAGCACCACGGGGTGGTTCTGGTGTACAAGCAGCTCTGCAGTGACGCAAACTACAGCTTCCACGTTTACCTGGCCACCAACAGTGCGTCGGACATCAAGGTGAGTGTCGGGGATGTTCAGAAAGCAGAGTGAAACAGACGAGGCGTTTCGTGGAAGTTTCACTTTACGGCAGCTACGTTTGTTCGTTCAGCAGCCGTCACGCTCGGCCATAAAACAAAACTGCTGGAAATTAGGTCCGATTTTTCCAAACGGTTTATAGTTTCAGGATCCTGTTTTATTTTACATCTACAGCACCACACTTGTAGAAGCTCCTTAAATTAACAATTCACACAGCAAACTGGTTTTTGTTCACCGTTCCCCAAACTTACTGTAACAAAATCCTGCAGTTCCAGTATTTGTTCCACCTTATATGAGGGTATTGTTTTAAATGTCTGAATACTCATTTATTCAGAGGGTATTTTATTTATTTATTTACTTCCTTCTGAACACAGTTCCCCACTACTTGAACTAAAGCCTTTCTTTTCTTTTCTAGGTGCAAAATGTGTTTAAATTGAGGAATTTCTCCACCTAGATGCAAATCAAAAACAAAACGGGAGCAGGAATTAAAAAAAACCTTCGTTACAGCTGCTGCACATAGAAACATTCCACTCATGAGCGTATGATTAATGAATAAAACTCCAGCAAAATGCCTCACCTCTGAGATTACGTGTAAAATTAAGAGTGGACTTATACGCTGAACTTTCACTTTTGTTCATTTTCGGCGCGGCAGACTTCTAAGCTTGTGTAAGGCAATGATCACTGGTTTTCCTGGCCTCAAACCACCTGCCTGAGGTTAATGTTGAGCAGTAAAGGAGGCAGAGGTGAATCCCTCTATATTTTTCTAACAGGCCAGTGGCTCCTCACAGTTGTGACTTCTCGATGTCGGTAAGCCGCGCAGTACTGAAACCATTCAGGAAGTGTGATTGTGGTTGTGTGAGCCATGTGGGCTTAGGATCCAGATGATGAGTAATCATGCTAAATGTTTTGTAACCCACAAAGACAAATGCCAGTTTCTGAAAAATGTAGTCATTAGTGTTTAAATATTCTATAATTTTCCATCTCATGATGTTTTCGTGCTCTCAGCTGAACTTATTGTGACGTTTGTCACCGATACTTTCAGTGGTTATTTTTGAAATGGTTGGAGCGTTGTTAAAAATGTCAACAACGACAAACAAATGCAAAGATTTGCAAATCGTATAACACATTTTATTCACAATTAGTCCTGTCGCAATAAGCACTAAATCAATTAATCACATGATAAATGAAAATTATCGACCTCATTTTCATTGATCAACTTTATCGTTTCTTTGCGTCTCTCTCTTTCTACTGAAGACACTGGATGACAAAAGGCTCAACTCCGGTGCTCTTCATCGACCCCTCCCTTTCTCTTTTCTCTCTAAAATCTGTTTTAACCGTCCAAAATTGTGTTTTTGGATCATCAAAAGCAGCTAAGCTGAGAAGCTAAGCTAACAGGCCGACCTCGGGGAAGAAAACCTCCGTCTTGTCAAAGCTCTAAAATTCATGGTTAAAACCCGTGCCTTCGTGTAAAAAGTTGTTTTTTTTTCTAAAAAAAAAAAAAAAAAGAAGCTGAGAACTTGTTTACTGATTTTTTTTTTAATTAAAAACTTTGTGTGAAAAATGTTATGCTAAAGAACTCAAACCACATCAAGCGTCCGCCATTTTGAGAACTGAAAAACAGGAATGAGAGACAACCCATGTCATGTCAAGGGGCCTCCCTCACATTTTTCTTAGAGACACACTGCTCACTCCCTCACTATCCATCCTTTGGTTCAAACAGTCTTATACTTCCATCCAGTGGTCAAAAAAGGTACTACACACAAAAATTAACCAGCATTTCTTCTTAAATTTGACAATAATTACTAATTACTGTCAAATTTCAAACAATATTATCGTTTATCACAATAATTTGTCAGACAATTAATCGCCCAGCAAAATTTGTTATCGTGACAGGCATATTCACAATGGAACATACATATTAAACATTTAAACTAACAAGATGTACTCTTTTAGAGGAAAAGTATTCAAGGATTCAATGTTTTTTATTTGTCATTCGCATGCCATGTGGTACATGTGGTGGAATGAAATTATGTACACAGGATCCCAGTTACATCCAACAATAAAATGTAAAAGAAAAACGATGATAACATCTAAGATATGAACTAAGAAAAACATCAACTAAGTATACACTAAGCACTAAACGTCACGTCGAACAGCAGCACGAACATGAGTCAAGGTAATTTTGAATATAATGGTACATATGGCAGTATGTCTTCAAAAGTTGGGACGGCAAAAGGCTGTCAACGGAAGCAAAACGAGTAGGAGCCAGGTCGAGGAGCAAAGAACACCGTCAGTTTGAGGACTGGGTAAAAACATTTTAGAGAGGCTAACAAAAGTAAAGATGGCCAGAGGTTCAAATTCAAAGGATTTAAAACAGATGGAGGAATATTTGTGCATAAAGGACAAGTCTAGAAAGTGAATGTTGAATGTCCATAATCTTCAGGCGGCACAGCTTCATCAACAGATCTGATTCTGTTCTGGACATCACTACATGTGCCATCCACAAATACAGGGTGAAGCTCTATTATGCAAAGAAGAAGCCATGGAGTAATGTCCCCATCTTCTCCAGGCCAAAGCCTTTTTAAAACATATTTTATGCAAAGTTTTTAACTTTTCTGTAGTCAGACAAATATAAAATTTAATTTCTCTTTGGAAATCATGGATGCCACTTCCTCCATATTAAAGAGGAGAGGTAGTATCTGCCTTTTTATCAGCTCTCAGTTCAAAAGTCTGCCTCTCTCATGGTCTTGGGGGGGGGGGGGGGATTAGTGCTTATGGCATGAGCGGCTTACACATCTGGAAAAGCACCATAGTATATCCAGGTTTTAGAACATCTGCACCCATCCAGACAGTTTTTTTTCAGGGAAGGCTTTGCATATTTCAGAAAGACGATACTAAACGGCAGCAACAGCATGGCTTTGGCGTGGAAGAGTCCAGGTGCTGAATTGGCCCGCCTGCACATCATGAAGTGGAAAGTCCAGTGAAGACGAGTCAGGATTGTTGAGCAGCTAAAATCCAACATCAGACAAGAATGGGACAAAATTCCCCTCAAACTCCAACAACTTATTCCTCGGTTCCTACGTGTTTTCAGACGGCTGTAAAAACAGGAGAGGATGCTTCAAGGTCGTTGACATGGTCCTGTCCCCACTTTAGATGTTTTATGTATTGCAACCATCAAATTCAAATGTACTGTACAGTTTTTTTTTTTTTTTTGGTACTAAAACTGATATAGTTTTTCAGTTTAAACATTAAATCTGTGTACTTTGTTCCACTCTGAATTAAATACGAGTTCACAACATTTGCAAATCATCACGTTCTGTTTTTATTTACAAGTTACACAACGCCCCAACCTTTTCGCAACTAGGGCTGTATGTTTTTTGTTGTAGCCAAGAAACTGACTCGTTCTCTACTTTGTCTCGTCTTCCTGCTGTAAATCAGGATATAGGCAAACAAGTGCGGGGCTACAAGAATCGTTACGTTAAGATCGATAAGCCTCCCACGTGCAAACTGGACGAGGGGACGTATCGTCTCTTGAGCGAGCCGGAGGGAGAGATCAAACCTCAGGTGCGTCTCTTTGCGTGTGCACCAGTCAGCCTAACCAGGTTTACTGTGCGTACCGAACAATCGTATCATGTTGTGTCATTTCTGCGTAAAAGGGAGCAGTATTATCCCTGTCGAGCTAATAAAAATGTTTTGTTTGGCCCCATGCAGGACTTAAAATTCACCCTGGCGGTGACCAAGATGAAAGGCTACTTTGAAGCTTTCTTTGAGCAGCCGCCTCCTTTTAAATTATCTCTAATAGAGATTACCACAGAACAGACTGTATGGGATACCACCATCAGAGAAGGTACCAGCACATTTGGGCTCAATGCCGAGACTTATCAGGCATTTATTAGGCGTCTTTACATGTTTGTTTTTTTTCAGGCGACTGTGTGGTTAACGTGGAAAAGAAGCCCAAGAAAAGAACAATTTGTAAGTTGAATTTTTTTTTCTCTTTTCTAGCTTTCAGTCAGAACCAGATTTTCCCGATCGTGTTTTCAGCCTCTGCAGCGTGACTCACATCGTATTGATCTGTGTTGTGCAGCAGGCAGGCAGAGGAGCAGCAGCCCCTCAGAGGAAGAAACCGCCTGCAAAAGACCCCGATGGCAGGACGAGTCAGGTGACTCGAGTTCAGAAAAAAAAAGAAACACAACTTGGTTTATTTAGTCAAACTATTTCCAGATCTTTGTTTAGTACAGACTGAAAGGAAGTACCATTTGTTGTGGTTTATGTCTTTCTTCAGATGGAGTAAAACCAGTGATGACTCGGGGTGAGGACCTGTCAGAGAGGCAGCTGCTGCGAATAGCCAAGCAGCTTGGCTCCGAGTGGAAGCAGGTGGCCATCTACCTTGACCTGAATACCAGGGAGCTGGATGACATCCAGACAGCAGAGAAAGATGTGAACATGCAGAAACTGAAGATGCTGGTGGAGTGGAAGAAGAGAAGGGGGTCAGGTGAAGCCACGGCGTCCCACCTGTTGGAGAGTTTGGAGGAATTCGACGACTTGCCGAATGAGGTTTATCAGATTCTGAAAGGTACAGAAAAACAGACAAAACGATACATTCTGATACTACAGTACAATACAATACAATGGGGTATATGTGATATAATGTATCATTAAATTATGTTTATCTGTATTAATTCACAACGTCATTTTAAAGCATTGTACAAAAACATTCACATACATTATAAAATTCCAATTAGTAACTGACTGGGTACACTGGTGACAGTGGAAAGGAAAAACTCCCTATTAACAGAAAGAAACCTCCAGCAAAACCATGCTCGGATGGGCAGCCGTCTGCCTTGACAGGCTGGGTTTGAGTAGACGGGAAAGAGACGGAGAACAGCTGGTCCAGGTGAAGTTACTATAGGAAGAAAGACGATAAACGTGTTAATGAGAGAAATAATTACAAAAATGAAGATTAGAGCGAGTAACGATGGCAGCAGAGAGAAGTGATGTGGTCTGTTTGTCCTTCAACAGTCTAAGCCTATAGCAGCAGTACTAAAGGATAACTCAAGAAACCCAAGCCAACCCTATCTATAGGATTTATCAAAAAAAGAACGTCATAATCCTGGTCCTAAAAGTAGACAGAGGGTCAGCCTCACAGACAGAAACTGGAAGTCTGGAAGAACTGAAAGCTCTGCCTCTCGTTCTACTTTTAGAAACTCTAGGAACCACAAGTAAACCTGCAGTCAATGAGCAAAGTGCACTGATAGGAAAAACATGGAACAATAGGATTTCTGTTTTAAGACGGAGCTTGGTTGTTGAGGGCTTTATTATGATAATTGCTATATTATTTTACAATCCAGTCCAATATTATATTGATGTTCCCCTGCGTTTATGACCTGGGGGGTGATTGTTGGTTGTCAGGCAGTGGGGGGTCGACGAGACAAAAGTTGCTATTAACAACAGTTTCACTAGTTTCAAAACATAGCTTTGCTCACTGCACTGCATTCTTTGGAGCTTGTCAATTAACTTTTCTAGAACCTCGTTATACTTTAATGTAAGGGTGATATTAAAAAATATATACTATATTTTCCGCTGTACACGTCGCACCACCCTATAATTCGCATCAGTCCAAATATGTCTAATAAAGTGGAAAAATCCAGAAATATGTTGCTTCGCCGTATACGTCGCATCTATTATATGTCACCAATGACGCGTCTTGTTTGTTACGCATCACCGCTGACAACCTGGAAATGTGGGCTGAACCTGGAAATGTGGGCTGTTGTGCCAAAAATCGATTGGCTGCCAAATGGTGACCGCAGGAGCGTAGACAGGAGGACTTTAACAAGAATGTAACAAGATTAATACCTAAAAACAATTATTAGTTTGCTCGAAATTATAGCAAAGGTGTGTCTCAGTTGAACTTTTACTTAATAAAAGGACTTTAACCGTCAAATCAGCTGTTTCAACAGTATTCACTGTCTCGGTGCTCTGGGAGCGTGCAGACAGGGAAGAAATCACGAAGGAGGAACGCTGTGCATTTCTTGGAAATTGAACAAGATAAGCACCTAAAACAATTATTTGTTTGTTCAACTTTATAGCAAAGGTGTGTCTCAGTTGAACGTTTACTTAATAAAAGGACTTTAATTGTCAAATCAGCTGCATTTCGCCGCAGCAGCGCAGAGAAATGAAGCTGATTTGACGGTTACTCCAAGCGAGCTGGACAAAGGTGGCAGGTTATGGCAAGCCACTTGTGTCATTAATAGCCACTTTTACCTATTACATGATGCAGCGTTCAATATTTTCAGTCAGAATGAATGAAAACGGTCATATCTCAGACAAAAATTGATTTATAAATATGGGAAATATCCATAAATACTGTACGTTGCTTCGGCGTATAAGTCGCAGGGCATGCAAATTATGCACACAAAAAAAACGTAACCTGTAGGGCAAAAAATACAGTAACTTAGCAAGAAAATAAACTTAAAAATGCCAAAAGGAGAACATCATTTTTCAAGAGCTGTAGACCTGGAGAGCCTGCAGTGTTTCAACCTAATGCTTGTTCCTGTGTCTGTTTTCAGATATGAGGGACAATCGAGCAGCTAAGTAAAAACTTTATGAATTCAACAAACTGCTGAATATCTTTCGCTCCATCAAATGGACTTAACAGAAATCTCAGGAGTGCAGCGAAGCTGAGCCGACCTGTGGACCAAACATCATCTCTTCCCTTTATATTTTCTTTATATGAAACAGTTAAGTCTGTTTTGTTTTTCATTTTCTGGAAAAGACCACTGTCTGCACCGTTGTTGAATGACCGTTTTGTTTCTGTAACGACTGCAGAATAGAGAAGTTATGTTGTAAGATACCATGAAGTAACATGTTAAAGAATGACTGAGGTCATTAAGATATTTGGTAGCTAATTATGTAGCTAGTAGCAAATGTAAATAGAAGTGCTGTCGTAGTGCGACTTCAAAAGTCAACCTGAATTTAATGTTTCACTTTTAAAGAAAACCTCGTGGAATTTCTTTACAAAAATCAGGCAGAAGAACCGACGATCGAGTCCGTTCAAACAATTACAGACTGAATTATGGAACTCATTTTTCTCAAGGATTTTATATGTACCTTTTTTAT